AAAAAAAAAGGATCTGCTTGTCATTGCAAAAATTCACCGCAAACAAAATTGATAGACACTTTTTCTTATTCAACTTTCAACTTACTGCATCCTGATATTCTTTTCGGGGAGGTGCAACTATTCTGTTCACGGGGAAAAAGTTGCATTCACCAGGTAAATTCTGCTGATTGAACTGCTTCATAATTTTCAGTGCAACTCTGGAATCAGAAAAGCACGTTTAGTATTAACATTAAAAAATTTTTAGATTTACCTGTCATCAGAAACTACATGGAACAGCAAACGAGATCCGGCGGTGATTTCAACAGCTTGAAAATATATAGGTTCGCAGTCAATTAGATCCAACAGAAGCCCTGCATTTCCCGATAGAAAAATGGCATCGTAGCAAAGAAGTAAAGAAGGAAAGGGAACGAACCATGATATCCCTTAACAACGTCATCATGTCGACCGTCACTATTATTGTCACGAAACCATTGGACGATTCGCCTCACACCTTCTACGCCATTTGTTATGGACTGAAAAAAGGTTATGCACAATATTTTGATAGCCAAAAAAGTGTAAAGATACCCTAGGCGCTAAGTAACGCATCTGTTGCTCCATTTGAGCTAACTCAGCATTCATTGTAGTCAATTGCTCACGCACTGCTTTTTCCTCTCGCGTTGCATCTCTTAAACATAAATATTTGGATGTTCAGAGAAGCTAGTTGACCTTCATGTGCTCACAGCTGAGCAACCATAGCTCTATCAAATTCTTGTTTCAATCGCCCGTGTTCAGCACTAGCTTTGTCCATTCGAATGTGATTTTCTTGCAATTCAACTCCTAGTTCCTAGCAAAAAGATCCACAATCAAGAACGAGTTGCACAATAAAACACCGCAGCGACTTACTTGCACATGTGCTGTTAATTGTTCTTCTTCACGATTCTCTTCTTCAAGACTCTTTTCGATGTCAGTTATCTGCTCTTCTGTGTCTCCAATTTGCCGAGTTATATGGCGAACTTCACGACGAAGGAAGGAATCTCGCTCTTCTGCCGACTTGAATTGATCCCTGATGTCAGTTCAATAGAGACTATGTAGCGTGTAAGAAAAATATAGGTACTTGCAAGAGAAGATAGCTATGACAAAAGGCTAGAAGAGAGAATTTTAAAAATGAAAAGAATGAGAAAGCAAAGCGAAAATTAACTTACTTGTGCCCCTGCTTTGCAAACAACTCCTTTGATTTCGTTTCTGCTATACGTATATCCGACGAAAGAGCAGATTCTTGCTCAACGAGTTCCTGCAAGGAAATAGCAATTCCACATCTGCAACAATACTTTCCACGGCTTGTAGAGACACCTGATATTTTGGAACAATTCGCTCCAGTTCTTCTTCCTTTTCGCGAATTTCTGCCTTCACTTGATTTAGAACATCCTCTGCTCTGTTACGTCCACTTTTTTCTCTTAAAAATAGTGGGTTTTATAGAAGACAAACAGCTCATTTTGGAGAAAGTAGGGAAGAAGTGAATTTGAAACGTAAGCTCAGTCAAAATCGGAATAAGTACGGGCTACTTCTTGATAAATGTAGAAAATAGATGCATAGATAAGTTATTTTGAAGCTTGGAAAGCTTACTTTTCAACGTCTTCTTTCAGATCGTTGATCAACAGCGCTAGTTCGGCCTTCTTCTCAAATCTTTCGGCTTGTTCTGTTACAAGCGCTTCCTAAAAAGGTATGTAGTAGTGCGATATAAATATTTCTTTCTTGAATCACCTTCTCCTCTTTCATTCCCTTAAAACGCGCTTCCAGTTTCCTCTGTTCCGCACTAGCCCGAACCCCGCGTGCTTGAACTTCGACAAGTTCACTGCTCACCTGAGAAAAGTGCAATAGTGAAATGGCAGAAAAAAGCGTAAAATATTTGCACTACTTTCGTTTGTCGTGAGCTAAGCTCTTCTCTTTGATCCAGTAGTCTCTCCAATTTCTTTCGTGTTTCGTTTGCCTCCGTATCATAGATTGTGTACTCTATAGATCGCTTCATTTTGTCCCACTTTTGGTACTCTTTGAGATCCTCTTTTTCTTCTTCCAAAGTCTTCAGACGTTCGTCGATATATGATAACAGAGTTTCAATCTTTTTCGTTTTGTTTTCTTGAAAGCATAGATCGAAGGCGAGATTAAAGAGGTTTGACGCAGTGGGGACTTACGTGTTTCCTTCAAGATTTTCAAGCTCTCTTCCTTTCTTTCGTCGTAAACACGTGTACCAGCAACCTCACGAAGAAGTTTGAGTCTAGAAATGAGATAAATGTGTACTCTGAAAGGTGACAGCCAATCAAATAGATCGGTTTCGATGCCTTACCTGTGAGAATCTGGAGCAGTGGCTAATTCATTAATCTTTCCTTGTTTGACGATGTAGTATGGATTAGAACGTGAGAAGCCTGCCGACTCCATCAAGTTAACAACCTATAGCTTGAGAATTGTAGTAGTGGTAACACAAAATTTCGTAAAAATTACTTCGGCACGAGGAACCATTTTCCCATCAATGTAGTACTGATCTTTTTTCTGCCCAACCTGACGAACAACTCGCACTTCAGTAGCTTCAATCTACAATTTAAAAAAATTAATCTTATCCAATGATTATATAATGCGCTAATTATCGGATACCTACAGCGGGAATTCGTCTATCAGAATTATCGAAGACAATTTCAACTCGAGCTGTGTTGATGCGCGGTCCTGTTCCTTCATGCAAGACACCCATCCTTTGTTCGGAACGAAGATTGCTGAACTCATCGCTCAGAACGAACTGTATAGCTGTAAAGAGGCTGAGAAATCAAACTAACTCTAAGTCTATGTCAGACAATGATAGCCAATAAAAAAAGGTAAGATGTATGAGCGTTAATGCTCGAAAGATGGTTCAGAATTGTAAAGGTTTCCAAAGCTACTAATAGCTGACAAGGACCTTCGAATCCGGATACTAAAGAGTAGGTTAAAGAAGAAAAAGAGCTCTACTTTTTGGGAACTAACACATGATGAGTATGAAGATAACACGCATTACAGGTTTCAACTTGACGAAAAGTAAGCTGCTAAGTTCTTAAAAGGAAACAAAAAACGAGAAAGGCCGGGATTTTGTCAAGAGCTGATAAGGCACTAGACCAACTTCTAAACATATAATTAGAACTTCTAGTAGATTGTACCTCGACTAAGGTAGTGCGGCAGGGCGACAGATACTTTTAAAAAATTCGGAAGTTAAGTAAGTTAAAAAGGCAAAGGCGTCGAATTTACAATTTGTGCTTGCAGATAGTACGTGCAGGCACATACCTTATAAGACAGGAAAGTAGGTAAGGTATACCGCTATGGACAATTGTTTGACGTATAAACAACAATCATATTTTAAAAAAAAGAACGGGCTGATGAATTATATGACTGCTGTCAACTCGGGCTAAAACGTTGAGGGAGCTAGTGTCTTTCTTTTTTCCACTGATTCTTGTTTCAGCCATAAAAAAACAGACCCTCC